GTGCCCTTGACCAGAATCGAACATGGGACCCTTCAGCCTTCAAGACGATGCTCTACCCACTGAGCCAAACCAGCTAGGGCTGCAGCAAAACTTTTAGAAAGTATGCTTATATTTGAAGAGAGCCATTTCTACTGTCCCATTTCCTCTTAAATATGTACACACTTGACAGCATTCTACCTAAATTTTTTTTCAAGGTCACCAATACCATTGCTTTACTAAATCTAGAGGTCATTTCTTTTTTTTATTGATTTTTTACAGAGAGGAAGGGAGAGGGATAGAGAGTTAGAAACATCGATGAGAGAGAAACATCGATCAGCTGCCTCCTGCACACTCCCTACTGGGGATGTGCCCGCAACCAAGGTACATGCCCTTGACCGGAATCAAACCTGGGACCCTTGAGTCCGCAGGCTGACGCTCTATCCACTGAGCCAAACTGGTTAGGGCTAGAGGTCATTTCTTGGTAATCATCTAAATACTATATATATCAGCAACATTTGACATGGTTGATAATTCCCCTAAATACATATTACTTACTTGGCTACGAGGAGACCACATTTTTGTAGTTTTCTTTTACTACACTGATTACTTCTCAGTCTCATTTGCTTACCTTCCTGGACCATTATTTACAGCTACAGTCATGGGGCCTTAAATAACATCCATATGCTGATGATGTCCACATTTATGTATTTCTCAATATTCTGTACTTTCAGATGTATCTATTCTACAGACTGTAACAACGCTACTTGAGTGTCTGCTTTATCAAATACATTTAAAATTGAACTGGTCATCTTCTCCAAAACTTATTCACTGGCAGGCTTGCCCATCTCCATTTGTGGCCAGTGCATTTTTTTTTCTCCTGTTGTATAGGTCAGATATCCTGGCACCATCCTTGACTCCACTGTATTTTCATACCCAAATCCAAACTTTTGAAAATACTTGATCTGGGGATCAAGCCTGCAACCTGGGCATGTGTCCTGACTGGGAATCGAACTGTGACCTCCTGGTTCATAGACCTACGTTCAACCACTGAGCCATGTGGGCCAGGCTGATTCCACCTTTTATTCACAGAGTCCCGAGGGCCTACCTAGAATAGGACAGACGGTCTCTGACTTACGATGGTTCGACTTACAATATATTGACTTAAAGTATTTTGATCCACTGATATGTGGTGTGATAGTCTCTTGTAATGCTGAGCAGTGGCAGTGATGTGATTTTGGCCAGTTGTAGGCTAATGTAAGTGTTCTGAGCTCTTTTAAGGTAGGCGAGGCTAAGCTGTGATGTTCAGTAGGTTAGCTGTGTTAAATGCATTTTTGACAAGATATTTTCAGCTTACAATGGGCTTATCAGATCATAACCCCATTGTAAGTTGAACATCTGTATTTGACACAGATTTAGACATTTCATTCACTAGAAGATATTAATTAATTTAGATATCAGGAAAAAAGATAATAAAGTTACCTGAATATAGGAATTATCAATTCTATGTGTGTCGTTTCATAAAAATCAGTTTTAAGTTATATAAATAGTTGAGGGCCCTTTGCTCTATCTCTTAATTGGAAGCCCTTTCTCTTTTAATTGGAATGTTTTAATCCTGTTGCATATAATGTAATGATCAATATGGTTAGGTTTAAGTTTGCCATTTACTTTTTGTGTTTTTTTCTTTTGCACTTTGTTCTATTGTGTGTTTTTTTTTTAAAGATATTTTTATTGATTTCAGAGAGGAAGGAAGAGGAAGAGAGAGATAGAAACATCAGTGATGAGAAAGAATCATTAATCGCTGCCTCCTGCACGCCCCCCACTTGGGACTGAGCCTGCAACCCGGGCATGTGCCCTTGACCTCCTGGTTCGTAGGTCGATGCTCAACCACTGAGCCACGCTGTCAGGGCTATGTTGTTTCTTTCCTGATATCTTTTAAGTTAAAACTTTTTTTGGTATTTCATTTTATATCCACTTTTGGCTTTTTAAATTATACCTCTTAATTATTTTTCATGATTGCGTTAGGGCTAATGATATGCAGCTTTAACTTACAGTCTACTTAAAATATTGTACTGTTTACCACTTCACAAATATAGTAACCTTATGAAAGAATATAGGTTATCAAACCCTTATCCTTTGTACTAATGCCATATCAGTTATTCATACATACGTTATAAACTTTATCATACAATACTTAAAAAGAAAAGTATCTTTGAAGGAACTTATGAGAAGGGAAAACAAAAGCCCAGTCTTTTATATTTACCCATTTATTCCTTCCTATATATGAGTTACCATCTCTTATTATGCTTCTTTGTACTGAAGTATATTCTTCAGCATTTCTTGTTTTGCAGTTCTGCTGGGAATGAATACTTTCAGTTTCTGTTCACTGGAATATCCTCAGTTTAGGAGGATGTTTGCACTAGTTATAGAATTCTGGGTTGACATTTTTTTTCCTTCAAATTTAAAACTCATTACTTTTTATTCTGGCCTTTTTTTGTTTTTAATGATATTTGCGGCTGCTTTTAAGATTTTCTCTTTTTCTTTGGTCTTCACCATTTGACTATGATGTTTTTAGGTATGTATTCCATTCTATAGATTGTGTCTGTGGTTCTCAGAGCTTCTTGTATCTGTAAGTTTATGGCTTTTATCAAATTTGGGAAGTTGACCGTTATTCAAAAAATTTCCCCCCGCTTCTTGCTGTCTTGTGGGGCTCCAAGCACACATATGTTAAACTGTTCGACTTTGTCACATAGGTCTCTGAGACTTTGTTCATTTTCTTTCAATCTATTCTTTCTTCTTCAGACTTTAAAACTTCTTATTTGTATTCATTTTCACTAACCCTGTCTTCAGCCATCACCCATTTGCTGCCACGCCCATCCAGTGAATTATTTCAATTATTGTACTTTTTTAGAATTTCCACTTATTCCTTTTTTTAATAGTTTCCATTTTTTTCTGCTGAGCTTTCCCATCAGTCCACTTGTTAAGAACCTGTTTTCATTTATTTTGAAAAAGTGTATGATAGCCCATTTAAAATCTTAGCTTAATAGAACATCTGGACTATCTTGTGTCAGTTTTTGTTTTTTGAGTATATTTTCCTTTGAGTCATACTTTCCTGTTTCGTCGAATGCCTAGTGAGTTTTTATTGAGATTTGGATATTGTGGGTAATATATTATTGAAACTGGATTCTCCCTCTCTGCAGACTCTTCAATTATTGTTCTAGGGGGCAGTTGAATTACTGGTTGATTGATTACCTTTTTTTTTTTTTTTTGTAAGCTTGTTTTTATACTTAGTTAGGGATGGTCTGTGGAAAGCCTAAGGTATTTCCCAAGCCTGTAACTTGGTTGAACTTAACTTCTAAGCTCTGTTTCTTGAAAGATCATATGAAGGTTTAGTTTTAGGCTTTGTTAGGACAGGATAGGCCTAGGGTAGAAGTTTTTCCACCTATAGTTATTTTCCTTTAAGATGTGGCCTTTCTGGTTTCTTAGGTAGATGCCTGGGAGGTGAACAAAGTCCCTTCCCCCACTGGCTCAGCTGGAATTCTGTCGGCCAGAACCGCTTGGCCTCTGTTTTTTTTTCTTCCATAGTCAACTTTTATAGCAGCCGCAAGACCCTACCCTGTACATGCGTAGCACAGACATTGCACATGGTTTTGTGAGGGATTCACTTGCTCCTCAGCCTCTCTCTGCACAGCTCCTTCTGTTCCAGGGCCCTGTTCCATGGATTCCAGGTGCTAGTAGTTCCCAACCCTGGTTTCTGCCTCCTCAGCTCAAAGAAACTTTTGTACTCTGCTTGGTCTCTAGCTCTCTGTGCCAGTTATCATGAAATTGTCTACAGACAGAGAGGCAGGCTGATTGTGTTTCTCTCCAAAGGACTGCCGAGTTTCTCTGAAAAATGAATTTGGCAAAGGTTTCCCAATGACTGAATACAATTGCCTCATATATTTTTGTCTTGTTTTATAGTTTTTGGTGGCAGGGCTAGTGATGTACCCGTTAACTCTGTCATGGCTGCGAGTGAAAGTTTCCTTAATATTTCCTATCCCCTATTGCAGTTTGTGTACACTAGTATAGTTAGAGAAGGGTATTTGTGGATTATTTTTGAGCATCAATATGGTTTGAGAGTGGTTGCTTAAAACCTGATGTCAGGCATTTTAAAGAGTAAGATGGTTTATAATGGTGGTCCTTTGAATAAAGCAATGTAAGTAACATTTCTCAAAAATATTTTCCTAAAGAAATAGCTTCTTGGAATGTGTCCTTTAAATTAAAAATGGGATGGATTGATGAATATCTGTAAATAAGCTTTAAAGTAGATATTTACAATCTTAGATATATAAGTACCTAGAGCACTTTAAAAGAATACTGATGCCTTTGTGCTACTCCAGACTGGTTAATAAGAACCTTTTATTACATTTTGGACATCAAAATCTTTTTAAAAGTATTTTAAGAATACTGGTAAGTCATCGTAGGTGGTTTTAGTTTTTCAGTGAAAGTAGGTAACTACTGTAAGAAGAACCTTTGCCAAATTCGTTTTTGTTTTTTCTGTAAATTCTTCTAAAGTTAAAAAAGCTTTTCAGATGAGATCCAAATAGCTGGTAGAAATGACATAAATTCGTATTTGCTATTAGTCCTCTCAGGGAGCTAGGTTTAGAGCTATGATGACAAATCAAGGTTTCCGATCTACGCATATTGTCTTCATAAGGTACATTTATCATCAGAGAGAGAGCAGCTTGTTTATTGAACTTTTGCTAATATTTGGATTAAAAAAAAAGTCATCCTGAATCAGAACTCTAATGTAAGTGCACTTGAACAGTTTTTAAGCTATTTTTTTAATCTTACAATGTCTTTTCAGGGTTGGGTCAGATGGGGAGGTACTGGTAATTAAAAGTTGCTATTGACGTAATGTATGTGTGGCCAGTATACAATGCTGATCATTTAAGTAAGCTTTCAAGATTTACCTGTGCAGCAGTTCTTCGTGTCCAAAATCTTAATAATTTCCTGTTTAAGTGTGGTTTTGTTTTGGCTTTAAGGTACCAGTTTTTGGAAGAAGCTTTTCAAAACCAGAAAGGTGCAATTGAAAATCTGCTAGCTAAGCTTCTTGAGAAGAAGAATTACGTTCATTTTGCAGCTACTCAGGTGCAGAATAGGTAAGTGTTGCCTTAAAACTATAATTTCACTTAAAGGATTATTAAATACAGTGGGTTCAGTTTAAATTTTTAAAAATATATATTAATACTAAGAATATTTAAAAATATTAGTTTTTGGAGGGGTAAATGGTGTAAGTTTGAGTTCGGAGTATAATATTTGTTAAGTAAAATTTAATTGGCCAAATTTTTGAATAGTCTTTTAGGATACATCTTTGACTGTTTTGTAATAAGACTCTAGTCTTTGTAAACCTTAATTAGATGTGAAAAATGCAATTAATAATAAGGAATTGAATTATAAATTAAAAAATATAATCCTCACCTGAAGATATGTTTTTATTGATTTATAAAGAGAGAGAAACATCGATGTGAGAGAGAATCATTAATTGGTTGCCTTCTGTACACACCCTGACTGGGGAACAAACCCACACCTATGTATGTGCTCTGACTGGGAATCAGACCTGCAGCTTTTTGGTGTGTGGGACAGTGCTTCAAACAACTGAGCCACCTGGCCAAGCTGAATTATAAAATTTAACTAGAGACAGTGGAAGACACAGGAGAGAGAATGTGAAGAGGGTGGACAAATTTATTTTCTCATCTGTAAAACAAGCATTAAAAACAGTACTTCTCTTAAAGTATTATTATAAGATGAATATATAGCACATAGTAAACTCTCAAATTTTTATTGTTGTTATTATTTTTATCAATAACACCATTAGTATTTAAAAAACCCTATTTTGGTTCATTTCTAAGTAACCAAATTTATTGATAAGGCAAATGGGAGTAAGTTTCATAAGTGAATAGATTAACAAAATGGGGGCCCTTAATGTAGGAAGACTAACACTTGGAGCTGGCATAATTAAAACTTGTATATTCCTGGTTTTATGAATAGGGTTGATAGATGCTCATTATTCAGATTCACAAATACTAGAACTTTTAGGTACTTTTGGAATATTAAAATTCATTTATGATTATTTAAGATGGCACCTACTAGATACTAAAAAATATTAAATAGATGAATGAATGAATGGTACATTATATGTTAGAAAATAGAAAATTATATATTGGACAGTAAGGTGGTAGAATTTTCATCTTAAGTTGCACGTACACTGAGTGGCCAGATTATTATGACCGGCCAGATTATTATGACCACCCCATCAGTACAATGAAGTGAATTAGTTATGCAAATAATAATAATAAAACCTTGAGAATATTTGCTGAGGAAGTTTTCAATATTCAGTATTTTTGGAAGTGTCAATGAAGTACTGATGGGGTGGTTATAATAATCTGGCCACTCAGTGTATATGTAGACATACAGACACACTAATCATGGATGGATGGTTCTTATGGATATGCCAGGGTGTTTTGGGTATGTTGATATGTTGTGGGTGATATTGGAGATGATAACTGTCTTATAAATTACAGATAGATGTCCTTTTTAGAGAAAGGACATGAGTTGATTCACATGGCAGTCTGATATTTTTGTCTATATGTTTTATACATATTTTGTATATATGTTTCTGAATTTATGTAGAGAAATAGCGCAAGAAGTTTATGTTTTATAAGATTGTAAAGGGTTGGGGAGATTGATGATTTCATCTGCAGAAAACTTTTAAACAAAGGTATTAATGATGCTTCTCCGAGACATATTTTTTGATGACCTTTCTCTATTTTTCTTCCTTCACAATTGAACATATAGTAGACATGCTTAAATCCAATGAGAGTCTGACTATGGCTAACTGCTCTCTGCTTTCAGCTTGCTTAATGATTTCAATCTTTGGCCAAAATCATTGTAAGTTTGAGTCCCATATGTCTTATCATTAGTAATCAGTACTCCCATTAAAAAAAAAATGACTTTAAGGACAGAATTGAATAAAATTTTTAAATAAGTGCCCAAACAAGCACTGATATACAGACAAAAGAGAGAAAACTATGTTATTATGATTAAGTGTATTAAAGTCCTCAGATTTGAATTTGGCAAATAAAGACCAATTCAGGATTTGAAAGTATGGGTTATAGTTTGTACAGAAGTAGAATGAGTTTGAAGGCTTCCTTATGGTTGTTTAATATTTTATTTATTCATATTGGTGGGATTTTCCCCTATTTATTTTGTAAATAAAATATGCAACCAAAACTTTTCTAACCACAGTGGGAGCTTATACCAATTTCTAGAACATCTAACAGCTATTTTAAAAGAATGGATTGAAAATGTTTTATGCCTTTAACTGTATACAATAAGAAACCATTTTGAGAAGATTTGTGAAAGGGGCATATTACAACCTATATTTGAAATGGTTAAGTTAGAAATGAAAATTAATGATTCTAAGCTTAATTCCTATTATTTGAAAAGGTAATTATTGGTTGCAACATTGTTTTTTTGCACATTGTTCTTCAAAAGCATTAAGATTAAATAGAACCAGTGTGCCAGATTTGATACCAGCAATCATTGATGTCAGATATTTGTATATCACATTCATGTCATGGGAACTAATGGAGATTACCATCTAGATTAATAAACTGGCCTTTATGAATTTAATTTAAAATGACTGAATATTTAATCCATTCTTAGTCCATATACATAACTTGCTTGGACCAAAATGAGTGATCAGGTCTGCTGAAACATAAGTAATACATTTTGGCAAAGGTTTAATTTTAATTGCTCGGTTAAGTGCCCAGTTGAATTTCTGTAAGTTGATGATTTAGAGATAAATTGATAACCTAATGATGCATTTCTCTTATTCAGGATAAAAGAAGTAAATGAGACTAACAAACGAGTAGAACAGGAAATAAAAGTGGCCATTTTCACCCTTATCAATGAAATTAATAAGAAAGGAAAATCTCTCTTACAGCAGCTAGAGGTACGGTTCAAAGCCAAAATCAAACAAAAACTGCTTCTATTTATCTTTAGCTGTTTTTTAATGTTTATTGAAAAGTCTCTTAGATTGGTTGGGGGGGAATACGGAAGTAAACTAAAAAAAATTTTTTTTTAATGTTCTATTGATAAATAGACCTTTTTTTGAGGTAGTTACTTTGCACCACAATTTAATAACACTGATTTTAGCTGTATAAATTAGTATTGTCCTCTTAGGAATTACAGAATTATTATTAAAATGTGATGTAACTGAAGACAAAGCTAACCCATCACATTGTGCCACCTACCCCCCCACCCCCACCTCCCAAATTCTCAATTTAACTTTTACATACATATATGAATGTATATTGGGAGTCTGCTTGAGTCATTTGCATGTTTCACTTAATTTAAAAAAATATTCCATAGTTTTGCAAAAAGTACTGCTCATTTTGAAATTTGTAAACTTTATTTATTTGTAAAATAGATTTTTACTGATTTTTTTTAGAGAGAAAGCAAAGGAAAGGGATAGAGATATAAAAACATCGGTGAAAGAGAAACATCAATTTTCCGCCTCCTGCAACCCCCACTGGGGACTGAGCACACAACCTGGGCATGTTCCCTGACTGGGAATCCAACCTGTGACCCCTTGGTTTATGGGTGGACAATTAACCATTGAGCCACACCGGCTGGGTGAAATTTGTACACTTTAAACTTACTGATAGTTTTGTTATATTAGGTCTTTGTTTTACATATTTGAGATTAATATGTAGATATAAATTTCTAGATGCGAATTCAATCAATTTGTGAGACCCAAATTAAGTTTTAATCAAAGATTCATCATCTTTACTGACTATAGTTGATTGGTTCTCAAAATTTTGTGCTCCTCAGTAGGCTTACATGATATGGGGTTATATTTTCTGCACTGTTGAACATATATTTTTTTCCAATGATTTCTAAAGAGAGTGGAAGGGAGGGAGAGGAGAGAGAGAGAGAGAAAGAGATAGAGAGCGCGCGCACGCGAACATTGATGTGAGAGACACATCAATTGGTTGCCTCCTGCACATACCCCTACAGGGGGGCAGAGGTCGAACCTGCAACCCAGGTATGTGCCTTGATTAGGAATCGAAACTGCAGTCCTTTGGTCTGTGGGCCGATGCTCTAACCCAGCGGTTCTCAACCTGTGGGTCTCAACCCTTTTGGAGTCGAACAACCCTTCCACAGGGGTCGCCTAAGACCATCGGAAAACACATATATAATTACATACTGTTTTTGTGATTAATCACTATGCTTTAATTATGTTCAGTTTGTAACAATGAAAATACATCCTGCATATCCGATATTTACATGACGATTCATAACAGTAGCAAAATTACAGTTATGAAGTAGCAACGAAAATAATTTTATGGTTGGGGGTCACCACAACATGAGGAACTGTATTAAAGGGTCGCGGCATTAGGAAGGTTGAGAACCGCTGCTCTAACCGCTGACCCACACCAGCCAGGGCTTACAGGAGTATTTTTTGATTACTTCATAAGTATTAACTTCATTACTATTAACCTCAAATTTTCCATAGTAGATGTTTTTCTGTTCTGTTTCTCATAGAGCACTTAGAAATATTAGAAACATAATTACATACAAGTGAAAGAAATGATGTAGTGTAGTTTTATTTCTGAATTTCATCCTTCTATTGAGACACATTGTGAGATTAAAAGTTCTCTAACGCATATTGTTAGAGTTTATGGTCTCTTTCCTGTTACACATCCAGCCAGTTACACTTAACCCTGATAGATTTTTATTTTCAAAAGGACCATGGGAACAGAGAGAGCAGTGGGCATGTAATGATTTTTTATATCTTTTAACTTACTGTAAATACATTTTAACGATAGGTCTAAAATAATGTTTTTAAACCATTTCAAGAACTTTAGTATTAAAAGATGCCTTTTAATGCGAAAGTATACATAAATACCTAATGTTAAATCTGATACACTCTCCTAATGTGCTGATAATTTAAACAATAGATGTTTTCTAGTGTAATATGTTTCTAAATTTGTAAAATAGAGTTTTTCCTAAGTTTTATAAGAGGGATGATTTCCAGGGAAGTTGTCAAACTTCTGTCAGTTGAATGTTGTTATTCATTGATTTTATATTATAAAATGGGCAACTTGTTTTCTTAGAGAAAAAAATTGTCTAATAAATCAAGTTGAGTCATTTTTGAACAAAAGAAAAAGAAAAAGTGGTTAAGAGCGAAGTAGATAGGTTGTTTGCTGTGCTGAATGTCAAAGGACATAGGACATCACCTATCCTTTCTGGGAGTTTTACTTCCCAAAAAATCAGTTTATTTTTTTTCTTTGCAGTATTTTCTCCAAATTAGTCTTTCCTTCAACCCTCACTTACTCACTTGTTCTTTATGACTTTTTGTCAGATCAAAACTTTCCCTAATCTCTACTCTTAGAGCTTGTGGAATTTATCTCCCTCATTTTGTCTGAGCATTTAAGAGAAGAGATTTGAACATTAGCTTCATGCCACACCAGTAGGTGGCACTGGTAACAGAAAGTTTTCTTCCGCCTGAAAGTGTAGTGGGTTAAGATTATATAACATTATTTCTAAAAGTCAACTCATTAGGCTATATACTTCATATAATGTATTAGCCCAGTGATTTTCAACCTTTTTCATCTTACAGCACAGATAAAGTAATAACTAAAATTCTTCGGCACATAAAAAATATTTTTTGATGATCTCACCTTCCCTCCCCCCCTCCCCCTCCCACGCCCATCAAAAGGTATACTTTTGATTCATTCACATTGGATGGCTATTGTTGTGTTGGCTGTTGTCATGTTTTATTTGACATTCTAAGGGAGAAGAGGTCAGGTATTGCATGTTCTAAAAATTCTTGTGGCACACCAGTGTGCTTGCTTGTGGCACACGGGTTGAAAATCTCTGGATTAGCCTGATGGAAAGACACTATAACAAAAACATTTCATCTTTTGAAGGAAAAAAGAGATATAAGTAACAGTTTCTCTAGAGAACGAAGTTTTAGTCCCACTTTTGTGAGTAACTTTTCTTTTGATCATAGGCTCATTAAATAATGAGGAACTTGTTAAGTTATATGTTAAAAAATATATATGTAGGTATTGTGCTCATTTTCTTTAATTTTTAATTTTTATTGATTTCAGAGAAGAAGGAAGAGGGAGAGAGAGAAACATCAGTGGTGTGAGAGAATCATTGATCAGCTGCCTCCTGCACGCCCCCTACTGGGGATCAAGCCTGCAACTGGGCCTGTGCCCTGACCAGGAATCTAACCATGACCTCCTGGTTCATAGGTCGACACTCAACCACTGAGCCACACTGGCCAGGCAGTATTGTGTTCATTTTCAATAGAAATAATGACTTGATTTTTTTCATATAGAATTCTTGGGCGACCTTCTTGTTCTGTTTCAGACTGTTACAAAAGAAAGACAGATGAAGTTAATACAGCAGCAGAATGACATCACAGGCCTCTCGCGGCAGGTGAAGCATGTGATGAACTTTACAAACTGGGCAATTGCGAGTGGCAGCAGCACAGCCCTCCTGTACAGCAAGCGGCTGGTGAGGCACATACTGTCTTTATTTTTCTGTAGGTTGACTTTGTTACGCATTCGGGAACTGCACCTGTTTAAAGTGTAGATTTTGAATTTTGGCAGATGTATTCACCACCACATGAAGATACAGAAAATCTCCACCACCCAGTCAAGCTTCCTTGTTCCCCTTAACCCCAGGCCCTAGGCAACTATTAGTCTGATTTTTGTCTATTCTAGAATTTCATATAAGTGGAGTCATACAGTATTCTGTTTTGAAGATACCTAGTATTGTATGCAGTTTATCATCAGAAATGGCAGAAATGCACGCATGTGCATTTGATTGCTAATATAGATAGTCTTTGACACACTGATATTGTTTCATTTGAGACTGACACTGTGGGGCTACATGAGCTTTTATGTCTTATGTTTTTTTAAGTGATATTTAATTTTAAAACTAATGTGAATTTTTTTCCCTTTAAGATTACTTTTCAGTTGCGCCATATTTTGAAAGCTCGTTGTGATCCTGTCCCTGCTGCTAATGGAGCAATACGTTTTCATTGTGATCCCACCTTCTGGGCAAAGAATGTAGTCAATTTAGGTGAGAAATAATTAGTTTTATGAATGTAACTTGGAACACTGAATTAGGAGGAGGAAGTATCTAAAGCAAATTTTATATATTGAAAGTTTTTTAACTTCACTATTAGAAAATATGTTTTTCATTGGAAACTCACCTAAACTATATGTTTATTATATCTTTAAGAATGTTGAGAGTCTCCTGTATAGTTTTTAAAAATGTGTATCATTTTTTTTTTATATATTTTACTGATTTTTTACAGAGAGGAAGGGAGAGAGATAGAGAGTTAGAAACATCGATGAGAGAGAAACATCGATCAGCTGCCTCCTGCACATCCCCCACTGGGGAAGTGCCCACAATCCAGGTACATGCCCTTGACTGGAATCGAACCCGGGACCTTTCAGTCCGCAGGCCGAAGCTCTATCCACTGAGCCAAACCGGTTTCGGCAAAAAATGTGTATCATTTTTAATATTTCCTGACATCTATTAAATTGGCATTGACTCTTTCATTGAAACTTAGCAAACGGGTCTTCATTCTCTGGAAGAATTTGTTAGATGCTTAGTAGTTTGTATATTAATTGAACCGAATCGTCCCCTGGAGGAGGATGTCCAGGATGCTGATGTGTCTGAAAGTTGTGTCCTGAGGAATGTTTGAAAGATAAAAGTAGCTCTTTTCACATGGAAGAGAAATGGACTTTGCTTTTGTTACTTCACAGTGTGGACCTAAGGACCATAGGTGAAAGTTACAGAGCGACAGACCAATAGCTCAGTTTAAAACAAGGCAAAACCCCAAAAACTTTTCCAACAATTAGAACTGTGTACAGAAGCTATCAAAGCAGAAGTGGACAGCCTTCTATGAAAAAGTAGTCTTTGTATATATTCAGATTTGGCTAAAGCCTTAGATCAGGCATCAGCAAACTGTTTTAGTGTGGCATGGTAGCTAAATTTGTTTTTTACATTTTAAAGAGTTGTAAAAGCAAATAAATAAAAAACAAAGAACATATGACAGTTCTTATGAAGCCTAAAATATCTGGCTTGTTATAGGAAAGGTTTGCCAACTCTACCTTAGATCAAACCTTCCTAAAATTTGCCTGCTGTTTTTGGAAAGCAACGGGCTCTGATTTGGATGGGGGAGGGAAGAGCAAGAGAGGTACAGGGATATTGATATGAGAAATCAGGAAAAGTGTCATTTCTAAGGACCTGAGTGGCTTAAAACATTCAGTATTTCCACAGAGGACAGTTTTGTAGCAATGCAATACTTTGCCCTGCACATTTTGGCAATTCAAAAGCAGGTGGAATCAGCAATAGTAATCTTGAGTATCCTTGAATCTTGTCAAAGGAGAATTGATTTAGACCAGCGGTCGCCAACCTTTCGGACCTCACGGACCACCAGTGGTCCGTGCCCACCGGTTGGCAACTGCTGATTTAGACTGACTAGCTGGGCTTCTCTAATAACATCTCTTTCAACTCTTAAATTTTCTGTAAATCTACGTAAATAAAGCATAAGGGCAGGTAATATATCTGAGCAGTCAAAAGCCGATTATTTGTCTTTGGACTATACTAGGTTTCTGATCTTTATCATCTTTAAACCTAGCTCCCACCCCTGCTGTACTGTTGGAAGCTTTGAGTGCTGAGGGTTGTCAGAGAAAAGGAAAAGATATTGATTAATCTACAAAGTAGATGATTTATTTGATTATATGCAAATTATTCTCATTTTTTAAATTCTCCAGGTAATCTAGTAATAGAGAGTAAACCAGCTCCTGGGTATACTCCTAATGTTGTAGTTGGGCAAGTTCCTCCAGGGACGAACCACATTAGTAAAACTCCTGGACAGATTAACTTAGCACAACTTCGACTCCAACACATGCAACAACAAGTGTATGCACAGAAGCATCAGCAGTTGCAACAGATGAGGATACAGCAACCACCTGCTCCTGTATCAACAACAACAACAACAACACAACAGCACCCACGACAAGCAGCTCCTCAGATGTTACAACAACAGGTGAGCATTGTATCACTGCATTATTGGTACAAATTGTGAAGCCCTCAGGGCTACATTCTGTCCTCCATAAATGAGTCACACACTTCACGTGACTAGCATGGAGAAAACTGAAGGTCAGAGTTTAAATATTTGTTCTGGGGATCGCAGGGATGTTGGGAAGTGTGAGGAAGGGCAGTAAGTAAATACTTACCATGGGAAACAAAATTAACTCACCAGTACACAAGTTTTTATTCCTAACTAGGTCTTTTTTGTTTTACACATACATGTGATTTTGGGCCAAAGAGCCAGATTATTTTTGCCCAATACTGATATATTCTTTTTAAAATATATATATATTTTTATTGATTTCAGAGAAGAAGGGAGAGGGAGAGAGAGTTAGAAACATCAGTGATGAGAATCATTGATTGGCTGCCTCCTGCACGCTCCACACCGGGGATCGAGCCCACAACCTGGACCATGTGCCCTGCCTGGGAATCGAACTGTGACCTCCTGGTTCATAGTTATACACTCAACCACTGAGCCACGCTGGCTGGGCCTGATATATTCTTTAGGCATTTGTTCAAATCATTCCCATCCCTGTACCTCTCTTGTTCTCTCCTCCCCCATCCAATCAGAGCTGTTAACGTAGGGTTGGGTAAGTTAATGCTTTAAACACACACACATACTGAGAGAAGGGGCTTGGAGCTAGAGATGAGGAGAATGACTTACACTTTTTACTTTATGTCCTTCTGTATCCTGACAAGTCTTTTTATATAACATTTAATGATTGAAAATAAATCTATAAAAAATATTATTATAGAAATGCAATTTCTACCCTTTGTAGCCTCCAAGACTGATCAGTGTGCAAACAATGCAAAGAAACAACATGAACTGTGGAGCTTTCCAAGCCCATCAGATGAGATTGGCTCAGAATGCTGCCCGGATACCAGGGATACCCAGGCACAGCGGCCCTCAATATTCCATGATGCAGCCACACCTCCAAAGACAAGTATGCCTAGAGTTACATTTGTAAGAATCATACAATTTTAAAACTAAAAGACATCATTTTTCTTGATCAGTTGGTGGGGGGAGAGTGACTGATACCTTTAAGAATTAAGACATAAAATTTTGTATTCAGTTTTAACAACTTCTTTGATGCCATTAATCCCTCTATATACTATGGGATGAGGACCCCTGATCTAGTCCAGCCAATTCATTCTATAGATCTAAATAATAAAGGAGCTTGTTATTTACCCAAAGTCACAAGAGATAACGGTAAAACCAAGATTAGAACCATAGTTCCGGAAATTGTTCCTCTGCTCTTTTAATGTGACATTTTGAGCCCAATACATTTTGTTATGAGAACAAAACAATGTATTTTTAAAAATTTATTTTTACTTTTTTGCTTCTCTCTACTTAGTATTGTTCTTTTTGGGAAGTAGATATACCCATCCTTAAAAATAAATGTATTTAGGGACATGTTTTTTACTCTTTGAATAGTAGGTTACCTTTATATAGGAGACATGATTTTAAAATGAAGCTACTTTGATACAGGATTTCTAGTTATGAAAGAATGCAGTTTATTTTATAACAGTTGGAGTGATGTTTCTTTTAAAGGTTTTTTAAAAAAAACATTTAAAAATATATTTTTTTATTGATTTCAGAGAGGAAGTAAGAGTGGGAGAGAGAGAGAGAGAGAGAGAAACATCAATGATGAGAGAAAATCATTGATCAACACCCCCTACTGGGGTTCGAGCCTGCAACCAGGCATGTACCCTTGACCGGAATCGAACACGGGACCCTTCAGTCCAAAGGCCGGCACTCTATCCACTGAGCTAAACCAGCTAGTGCTCTTTTAAAGATTTTTTAAGACCATCAGAATGATTGGGAGGCCTCATCAGAAACAGATTCTGAGCCATACCCACTGAGTCAGAATTTCTAGGAGGGGGCTACTCAGAAATGTGTGAACGCTTACTGACTCACATCAGTCTGCATACCAAAGTTGACATACTGTCCTTCAACTTTTGAAGAATTAGTGCTCTCTCACATTTAAAGATTGACATTTAAAAGTTACATTATAAGTTTAAGTTTAAATAGTTCCAAAGGACATAATTTCTGGCATATTGTAAATATTGACATTATAAAGTAAAATTCTTATATTTTATTCTAGTAAATGAATCCACTGGCGTCCCAAATACCACAGCAAGCTCCTTTTTGAAAGTCAAAATTTTACGCTGGGACTTGAATATCTCTTCTACTTTCTTTGTCGCATTTTATAAAAATATGTATATTTATGTTAGATAAAGTTATAAATCAATCAGTCTTTGGAGTTATTCTGCAGGAAAAAAAATGTTTATTATAAAATAAAAATTGTTAAATTTTCAGCCATAGTAAGGCTACTATTAAACTGAAACTTTTTCTTTGGACCAAATTTGTATTACAATTATTCCTATTCAGTTTTTTAAGCAGCATATTTATTTACATGCTTTAAGAATATTAGGAAACATAAAGAGTAAAATTCTTTTAGATCTACATTTCTTTTTGAGAAAAATAGAGTCTTTTCAGTTATATGTGTTTGTTATTGTTAGAGTAAGTCAGAATTCAACATCAGTTTTTATTACTAGCTTGTTTTTTGTTTTCATGTGATGCTCAGGAGACATGTTCACAAAAAATTGTGTCTGGGAAGTATAAGAATTTCAATTCTTTGAACATTTTCTAGGTTATCAAAGCTGAATGAATCTCACAATGAGCTGTCAAAACTTTAAAATATCTTATCAATTGATGGCTTTTCAGGTCTTCCTTAATTTTTGTTGCTCATCAAATAACAGAACCCACTTAAAATTTGTTACACAAGTTTTGGTCAAGCACTTGATCAACAGTGTGACAGCTTTATTGTACCTTTACTTGTCTCTCTTGTTTGTTTTTTACCTTGGGGCAATGTGCTAGATAAGATTAGGAATGGGTCAGAGGTTTGCTGTTTTTTTGTGGAGAAGGGTAGTTGTGAAATAATGAAAAAAGAACTTGCAGACCACAGCACATTCTTAGGTAAATTGGGTTTTCTTTAGAAAAAAGTACATATGATTGAAGCTCTGGGCATTAATTGCCCTAGAAGTGTTCACTCCAACCCCCCCCCCCTTTTTTAAAAAATATATTTTATTGATTTTTTACAGAGCGGAAGGGAGAGGGATAGAGAGTTAGAAACATCGATGAGAGAGAAACATCGATCAGCTGCCTCCTGCACACCCTCCACCGGGGATGTGCCCGCAATCAAGGTACATGCCCTTGACCGGAATCGAACCTGGGACCCTTGAGTCCGCAGGCTGACGCTCTGTCCACTGAACCAAACTGGTCAGGGCGAAGTGTTCACCCCTTAATACATAGAAAGCCTTCAGGTATTACTGGGGGGCCAGGTACACCCTTTGGAAGAGGGCAGGAGCTACAGAATCACACTCACCAGCCACCTAAGAACAGTGCTCTATGCTTTGGGGTCCCCACAGAATCCCCGAAGTTTAGAATTTTACATTTTTTAATGTTTTAAATGACTTATATGTGTATAGAAATTTATTTTCCAAAGCTTTTCATCTATATGATCTTAAACAATCCTCATAACAGCCTTACAATGAGACAGATGTGTTTATTTTTGTTCATCATCATTCACATTTCTAAATAACTGATTATGTCACACGAGTTAGAGTCAGGAATTGATGTCATATTTCTGTTTGTAGAGTCATTATTTACATATAAATTATACAATACACAATTAATTCCTTTTATTTAAAAAAAAAGTCAAAGAGGAATGTAGACAAAACAGTGGCTTTCAGGAAATGCTGTTTGAAAACTCGGGGGCTTCCAGATCATCTATTTACATGCATCTTTGTTCTGAATAAGATCATGTCATCAGGTTGAAAATTATTGTCAAGTTTGGCTTTTCCTAAATACAACAAAAAAAATAGAAAAACGAAAAGGCTGAGTTAAATTATTATTTATTTCCTGTATAAGTTTGAGAGGGCTTACTTTTTTGTTTCTCAACCATAGTTATCAGACCCTTGTACAATCTAACTTAAATTAAAAATTGTTGTCAAGGTTTATTCATATTAGGGTATCACCGCTGATTAAATAATGATAGCATCTTCTTTCCTAACAGCACTCAAACCCAGGGCATGCTGGACCTTTTCCTGTTGTGTCAGTGCACAACACCACAATCAACCCAACCAGCCCTACTACAGCTACTATGGCAAGTGCAAATCGAGGTCCTACCAGCCCATCTGTTACAGCAATAGAGTTAATCCCCTCAGTTACCAACCCAGAAAACCTTCCATCGCTACCAGATATTCCACCCATACAGGTTTGTATTTAAGTTTAATGAAAGATTTAAAACCTTGTCTTAATTAGGGATTTCGAGTATATTTTTCTGGTTGTTGTTTTTAAGTTGAGGCATTTTAAATTTAGAATATATTTGAATTTTTAAAAGTTACATTGTGTTAAAACTAGCAATCCTCAATATAACTCCAATATTGTTTAAAAATCATGAATTCATTGTAAATTATTTTAACCTGATTGCTTTCCTGATGTTAGGAGAGATCTTTTTTGGCTAAGCAAAGTGTAGTTGTGTTGGCACAAAGAGTACTGGGCTATATGGAAATTTTTGTACTATATCTGTAAAAAATAAAATTGCTGAGTTATAAGCTTATTATAATTTACAAAGAACTTTAACAGATATTAGTTTAATGCTTGAAATCATTTTATATGATACTAGAGGCCCGGGGTACCTCAGCCTGGCCTGCATTCTCTCTCGCAATCCGGGACCCCTTGGAGGATGTCTGGTGCCCTTCAGTCAGCTGAGTGACGCTCCCACTGTGGGAGGCACTGACCACCAGGGGACAGCTCCTGCATTGAGCGTCTGCCCCCTGGTGGTCAGTGCATGTCATAGCAACTGGTCCAACGATCAACTGGTTGACCAGTTGCTTAGGATTTTATATATATAGATGTAATATATCTACTTTATGGATGAAAGTAAGAGGATAGTGACTTTCTCAGAGTCACCCAGTAAATGTGTTGGGAAAGTTGTAATTCAAAATCTAGATTCCTGATTACAAGTCCAGTTCTCTCCCTAATATTTGTAGAAATTGTAGGGAGATAGTTTGGGATTGGAGGCCTGGAAAGCTGTTAGTTTTCAGAGGCTTTGGGCAACCAGAGAGAGGTGTGTACATGTTTAAGGAGTCATTGACATTTTACTAAGCACTATGTATGCTGAAGTCCTGGGCATTAATGATCATCTATCTATATATATAAAAGGCTAATATGCAAAGTGTCTCCTTGGGAGTTCAATCGGGAGAGTGGGAGTTTGATCGCTTGCTATGACGTACTGTGACCACCAGGGGGCGGCGTGGAACATGCGGCGACCAGCAGCAGTGGTGGGGCGCTGAGGGAGCAAGGGAAGGAGGAGATGGGGAGGTGGGGAACTTGATCAGCCCTGATCGCTGCCAGGCCTAGGGACCCTACCCATGCACGAATTTCTTGCACCGGGCCTCTAGTAAAAAGATAGACAGGACTTGATTCCAGTTCTTAAAGAAACTTCCAAAGGGAGAAGAAGGAAGGTTGCTAATGTCACACTTATCATAATTTGCTAGGGTCACTCTGACCTTGGTCTAGTTTAGTGGTCGGCAAACTGCGGCTCGCGAGCCACATGTGGCTCTTTGGCCCCTTGAGTGTGGCTCTTCCACAAAATACCAACTTCTGCGCATGGGCCACGAAGTTTCAATCGCATTGTACGTGCTCGCCCGCATGTGGTATTTTGTGGAAGAGCCACACTCAAGGGGCCAAAGAGCCACATGTGGCTCGCGAGCCGCAGTTTGCCGACCACTTGTGTAGTTCTTTCTTACGCAGACCAGGTGGTGGAAGTGTATATGTCCCACATCTTTGAAAAGTTGGGCATCATAAGGGAAGAAGGCACATATACTTTCTTTACCATCTTGCCCAGAAGAGCTATGCGGTCAAGACAAGAAGCTCTGGAATGTGTGCCCTCCAGTGTTTAATCTTTTAAAGTGGGCAGAGAATAGAATCCATATTTTCTCTGATATACCTTCTCTTATTAAAGTTATCATTTACTTTTAAAAATTGAGATATAATTCACATACCATAAAACCCCACTTTTAAAAATGTACAGTTCATTGGTTGTTAGTGTATTTACAAGAGTGTGCTACTATCACCACTTAATTTCAGAGCATTTCATTACCCCAAAACAGTGGTCGGCAAACTGCGGCTCGCGAGCCACATGTGGCTCTTTGGCCTTTTGAGTGTGGCTCTTCCACAAAATACCACGTGCAGGCGTGCACGTACAGTGCAATTGAAACTTTGTGGCCCATGTGCAGAAGTCGGTATTTTGTGGAAGAGCCACACTCAAGGGGCCAAAGAGCCGCATGTGGCTCGCGAGCCACAGTTTGCCGACCACTGCCCCGAAAGAAACTCTGTACCCATTAGCAGCCACTCTCCAAGCTGTTTTTCGCGTAGCTGCACCATTTACATTCTCAGCAGCAGTGTGTGAGGATTTCAGTTTCTCCACGTTCTTGCCAATACTTGTTATTGTCACTTGTGTTTAAAAGGAATTAGAGGTGTTACACAAAAGCCCAGCCACAGTAAGACATAGTTAACTATATGAACCAAAAATAGAAAGGGAAACAACGTATTATCTCTGGAAGAACCACTTTTTCTCCTATCCTATAGTTTCTATGGTATAGGAAAAGGAAACATGGGAAGCTATACAGGAAGCAGATGGGGTAGCATTAACTATGTAACAGAGCAGAAAATAAATGCAAGGGCCACTTTGGATATTTGGTAGAATCTTTAGGTTTTCTATATAATATCATGTCATCTGCAAATAATGACAGTTTTACTTCTTCCTATCCAAATTAGATGCCTTTTATTTCTTTTTCTTTCTTAATTGCTCTTGCTAGGACTTCCAATACTAGGTTGAATAAAAGTGGCAAGAGTGGTCTTCCTTGTCTTTTCCTGATCTTAAAGGAAAAGCTTAGCTTTTCACTGTTAAGTATGATGTAGCTCTGGACTTACGACTTATGTTCTTTATTATGTTGAGGTATGTTTTCTCTATACCCACTTGGTTGATAGTTTTGTTTTTTTTCATTAATGGGTGTTGAATCTATTTACTTTTAGAAGAGTCCTCCCTTGCCTCTGATATGTTTTGAGCTGCTTTATTCTGATTAGTTTTCTGTCAGTCCAATTCTACCTTGGTTTTTGTATGTATAGTTTCTTTCACAGTTTCTGCTTCAATGCCAAGTTTTTCTGTTTTATTGTCATGAAAATCAGTATGGTTTTTGAGAGGAAAGGACAGCAAGTAATAAATATATGTGTTCAGTTTTCAAAAAGTGATCTTGAATGGTTTTGGGGGAGCTATGTTTGTTGAAATAAAGGGAGGAAGACGGGACAAGGATGTTGGAAAACAGGGTCCTGCATCAGTTTTGAGTAAAGGCAGACATGTCAGTGTGTCAGTCCTGTTTTCATAGCAGAACGTAAAGAGCTTAGTGGATCGCTGGGTCTGTCCTGACCTGCCAGGTGTTTGTTGCATATTATTATGGCTTTATTCACATCAACTTTATACTGTATGGAGCCTCAGGGAGCCTAAGGAAGCAATAGTTAAGCCGACTTAAATGCAGGCTAATCTATTTATTAGGAAACTGAGCGTAAGTGGTTATATTAATTAAATGAATAACATCTCTGTTTAATCAAAGCAAATTTATCTTTTTTGTTTTTCTCTTTAGTTGGAAGATGCTGGTTCAAGTAGTTTAGATAATCTACTAAGTAGATACATCTCAGGCAGCCACCTACCCCCACAGCCTACAAGTACCATGAATCCCTCTCCAGGTCCCTCTGCCCTATCTCCAGGATCATCAGGTAAAACCAACTGAGGTACTGCCTCATTTCTTTAACACCTTAACAAAAATTCTCTCTCAGTATATGCATTTGGGTTCTTCAGAAAAATAGAATCAATAGGAGATTTGTGCGCGGGTGGGAAGGGAAAGAGAGAGGGATGTTAAGGAATAGCTCATGTGATTGTTGGGGCTGGCAAGTCCGAAGTCTGCAGGTTGGTTGCCATGCTGGAGACCCAGGGAAGAGCTGATGTAGCCTTGAGTGTGGAGGCAAAATTCTTTCTTCCTCTGGTGATCTCAGTCTTTTTTTTTCCAGTTGATCAGCAGCCTAGCCAGGTTCTCTAGCCAGGTTCTAGCCAGGATCTCCAGCCAGGTTGATCTCAGTCTTTTAAGGTTTTCAACTCATTGGATGAGGCCCAAACACATTATGGAAGTTGATCTTTTTTACTCTAAATCTACTGATTTAGGTGTTAATCACATCTTAAAATACCTTCATAATAACATTTAGACTGGTGTTTGGACAATTGGTATTGTATTCTAGCCAAGTTGACGCACCAAAGTAACAACCTCATAACATATATGTTTTTTCTGACTGCTCTATTTTTCTTCAAATACTTTAGGCATTCTTCAGCTAACTGAAGTCGTAGGAGTTTCTATCGTAGTGCACACTGTTCAGAACTCCAGTGTGCCCCTCTCCCCGGCTTTATTCATGTTCATTGCTGGACCTGTAGTTCCATTTACTTTCTATGTCTTATATTTTATGATATAGATCATCAGCTGAAGAATTCTTTGGTTTCAACCCAAGTTCAAAACACTTGGTAAAATAATGAAAAGTGGAAAAATTGTTTTAAAAAAAGAGTTGAGGAAAGGCAAGTGAATTTTCAAATGGTAATTTTAAAACAAAAACTTAAATTTATTGGAAACTGTTAAAAAGTGACCAATCAAGTCCATGAGATGTAGCTCTCTTCCGAAACCCAGGTGTTTATTGACCTTACCAAGAGAATGATTGAAGCAACTCCCCCCAGATTTATGGTGCAGAGTAGTTATGGGATATATTTTTCTGGTATAAATTAGATGTTATTTTTTTCTTACTAAAACAGATTACCTCATTATTTCTAGAGAAAGAATAGTTCAAATTTAAATGTGGGTTTTGCATGAGATGCATCATTAATAGATTTTTTGAGTCATCTAATTTTTGAGGTTTAATATAATTATTCTAGAACTCTGAAAAAAAAAAGAATAAATAATAGGAATATAAGTAGTATATTTATCAGATAACGTAGGGAAAGACGGCAAATAGCTTTCTCTTGGTCAGTTTTCATTGATCCGATCGTGTTGCTGTGAGGCTCTGGGGATGGTGCTCATCTGAGAGAAACTGGTTGAGGTCTGCCAATGATTACAAATGCCACACCTGACTTCAGGGCTAAGCCTGGGTCTGATTTTCAGGAAATTAAAAAAAAATTATGTGTTGATTTTAGATAGAGGAAGGGAGGGAGGAACAGAGGGAGAGATTGATTTGTTGTCCTACTTATCATACCCACAACCTTGGTTTATCAGTCAATGCTCTAACCAACTGAGCTATCTGGCCAGGGCAGCTAAATTGTATTATGATGATCTTGGAATCTGTAACTAGTAGGTAGAATTCTGAATATTCATACCTGCATTAATATTCATTTTGACTTATTTGCAGGTTTATCCAATTCTCACACTCCTGTGAGACCCCCTAGTACGTCTAGTACTGGCAGCAGAGGCAGGTGAGTATTACATTATTAATAGGTACAATTTTTTATTAAGAATTATTTCAAATATATACTTTAAAAAATGAATATTACAGTGAACTCTTACATACTTACAATCTAGCTTCAATAATCACCAAGTTATGGCCAATCTTAATTCTCTGTTCATTCCCTCTTGGTCTGGATTATTTTGAAACAAATCTCAGATATCCTATTTACTTGTGACTGTTTCAGAATATATCACTTAAAATACAAGGATTTAAAAATTTTATAACCACAGAACTATTATCACACCTAGAAAAAATGTAATGGATAATTCTTTAATATTACTAGAGATACAGTTAAATGTTCAGATTTCCCCATAAATAGCTTTTAAAATTTCCCATAAATACCTTTACATTGCCACCGATATATATGTTGAAGTCAGAATCAATGTATGTGAGGAGGTGTATTGTTTTTCCTATAGCATTCCATCCATTTTGTCATTTAAATACACTTCCTGCTGTTTTTTCTCTATATTGTATTTAGATCAGGAGGTTTGATTGGATTCAGGTTTGATTTGGGGGAAAGGGTAGTGGTGCTGTGTATTCCCATAAGGGTCACAGAATGTCTGGTTGGGTTTTATTTGTTTTGTGAAAGGGATCATTAATGATCATTGCCTAACTTTTTTTTTACTGGTTGAAAAATGATGCATTTGAATTATTGTATTATTCCTTCTTTGTTTATTAAACAATTCTGTAAACAGACACTTTCTGCCATCAACTATTTGGTTATGGGAAAAGCTGAGTGAATAGATTCGTTCTATTTACCTATTGAGTTGATTTCCCAGCACCCTTCAACAGTGACCAATGGTTTTATTATTTTTAACTTTATGAACTCATATACTTAAATATATTTTATATGATCCAAACCATTGTAGATGTTATTTTATTGATGCTTAAAGTTTTTTATCTTTGGCCTATCAGAGCTTTTTAAAGTCTGACCCCAGCATCCTCTGAAGGCTTCCTTGTTTGTTATTATAAAATGATTGTCCAGATTCATCTTGTACATTACCTGCTTCAGAACTGGAATCAGCCATTTCTCTAAGAAATCTGGTCATGTTAGTGAGAAATGGTGCTTGGAGACAGTCTTCTAGGAACTAGGGATACTCATTACTACTGAATTATTGTTTTTTATGCCTTTTTGGTGGACAGAACTAAGAAAATGGGGGTGGTGGGAGAGAATGTGTTTTAAGATAAAATACAATAATGTTGACTTTTACTGTTTAGTTTAAATAATTTAGTATAATATAATGCAAGAAAGATTTACGTTATAGGATTCTTTTGTATGCATGAGTGCACATGCATTTTGAAGATTGGTCCTTTCAAACACTTGCTTGACCTTTTTTTTTAAATATATTTTTTTAAATATATTTTATTGATTTTTTACAGAGAAGAAGGGAGAGAGATAGAGAGTTAGAAACATCGATGAGAGAGAAACATCGATCAGCTGCCTCCTACACATCTCCTACTGGGGATGTGCCGGAAACCCAGGTACATGCCCTTGACCGGAATCGAACCTGGGACCTTTCAGTCTGCAGGCCGACGCTCTATCCACTGAGCCAAACCGGTTTCGGCTTGCTTGACTTTTTAATTATACTTTAATAATCAGTACTTTTAGAAGAAAAGAATAAATTGAGTGAAAAAAAAAGGTGTCCATTCTTAGAAGTAATACACATCAGTTATTCACATCTCTTGCCAGTGGTTTTGCTTTGTGTTCTAGGTATAACTGATTAGTCTTGTGTCATTACATTGATTTCAAATAAGGACATTCTAGGTTGTTTTTTTTTTTTTTTTTAATATATTTTATTGATTTTTTTACAGAGAGGAAGGGAGAGAGATAGAGAGTTAGAAACATCGATGAGAGAGGAACATCGATCAGCTGCCTCCTGCACACCTCCCACTGGGGATGTGCCCGCAACCCAGGTACATGCCCTTGACCGGAATCGAACCTGGGACCCTTCAGTCCGCAAGCCGACGCTCTATCCACTGAGCCAAACCGGTTCCGGCTAGGTTGTTTACTATTTGTTATCCTCTTTTCCCAATTCCCTGCCCATAAAAACTAAACTAGCAATTCCTTTGAGAAGGCTTCATGAACCACTGTTGATGTTATTTTCTTCAGATGTTTGGGGGTAGAGAAGAGTTAAAACTACTTTTATAGAGAGAAGGGAAAATGATTGTTTACTAGACTTCTTACCTGGTGTATTGTAAGTGCCTCAGAACATAACATGTGTTTTTAAGATCTTCTGAAAGTTTGATTTACATTTTTAAGAATTGGAAGCTAAGTTTATACCACACTCCTCTTAACAACATTATGAAGTATCTTATCTTAAAATTAATTGTCTGTTGCTTTCACATTAATGAACATTATTTTTATACACACCACACAGTCAAACATATGTGGCCTTTCTTGTTTTTTTATTAGCTGTGGGTCATCAGGAAGAACTGCTGAGAAGACAAGTCTTAGTTTCAAGTCTGATCAAGTGAAGGTCAAGCAAGAACCTGGGACCGAAGACGAAATATGTAGCTTTTCAGGAGCCGTGAAGCAAGAGAAGACAGAGGACGGCAGGAGGAGTGCCTGCATGGTAAAGCCCACTGGGATCTGCCGGGACCCTTCCCTCTCCGCGTGTGCTAGACTGAACAGTTCTGCCGTGAACATGTATTTAACGCTTGCATTTCTGTGCCGGTACTAGCCAATTATCTCTTTTTCCAACTCAGTGTCTCTAAATGTTAGCTGTAACTGATCAGAAAAGAATCATACTAAAGATTCATTTAAAATTATCTTTTTATTTTTAATTGGTCGTATTTTTTGCCATGATTTTAAGTCAGATTCTATCTTATTCTGAATTTTTTAATCATCTCAGGCCACAAATGACCCTTGGCTATTTGCCTGGACCTGTACATTCAGAATTAAGGCTGCTGACATGAAAGAAGTTAACAATCAAAGAGTTTTGTGATGGGGGAAGATTGCCTTTAGCTTATGAATTATTACCCATTTTAGAGTTCCCAGATGGGACACTTTATAGAATTTATAATATAGGATGAAAGAAGGCACAAGTCTCTTTGTTTAGAAATTTCTATCTTGGTTTTTTTCTTCCTGCCTGGGCTTCTGTGTGGTTGGCACATAGAAATTTTAGCTCGAGCTATATATTGAATGCACTGTATGTAGGTTTAGAGAGCAGCACATTTAGCCATGGGTTTGGAGCAGTATCACCTCTTTATCCAGAACTTAATCTGGAAAGTACCTCCAAAACAGGTTAAAAGATTCTTTTTTATATTGTCATGATCTTCCTACATTTGTAGAATAAGTGGGCAGAAGAATGCTCCTCAAAAGCTTTGCAGTAGATTCTTGAGTGAAAAATAACACACCAACATCAACTCTCTTTAGGAAAAGTATAACCCTATGCTCACTTCCCAGTCAGTGTGCTTAGCTGTTAAATTAATTTCCTTACTATCTGCGTGAACCAATATTTCGGAGACTGCTCCCTAAAATCACAAATTAACATGCCTAAATAAATTTGGGGTTAATTTCATTTCTTTATGTCACTAATATGATTTCCAAAGTAATTTTAAGTTAGGTCAGTATATCTGTATACATGTTAACATAAGGTTACACACACACACAGCTAACAATAATGGATTAAATGATTCTTCAAGAGGTTGTCCTTGTTTTGTTTTAGTTGAGCAGTCCTGAGAGTAGTTTGACACCACCTCTCTCAACCAACCTGCATCTAGAGAGTGAGTTGGATGCATTACCAGGAGTGGAAAACCATGTGAAAACTGAGCCTACAGATACGAATGAGAGCTGCAAACAGTCAGGGCTCAGCAGCCTTGTTAATGGAAAGTCTTCAATTCGAAGCCTCATGCACAGGTCGGCAAGGATGGGAGGAGATGGCAACAGCAAAGATGATGACCCAAATGAAGATTGGTGTGCTGTCTGCCAAAATGGAGGGGATCTCTTGTGCTGTGAAAAATGTCCAAAGGTCTTTCATCTAACTTGTCATGTTCCAACACTTCTTAGCTTTCCAAGGTACCAGTGAAATAATTGATTTTTTGATGATGTTTACTTTTATAAACAAACAAACAAACCCACCAGAAAGTTAGGGCAGGGGGCCTTCTTAACCATTGCATATATAGTAAAACGGGCCTGTTCCTTTGGTATTACCTTCTAGAGAAACTAATAGTTGAACAATAAACTGTCCAAGATGTAAGTGCTGCCGCATTAATGATAAAGTGTAGATTATTTCCTGGCCTTCAGTTTATATTTAATGTAAACAAATTAGATAAAACTCTTAATTATAAGGGGCAAGGGCAGATTTCCTCTTCAAGTTAATTTTTAAGATCTATTGCCATCATTTTAAAAAAAATATATGTTTTAATTTGAGAGGGAGAGAGAAACATCAATCAGCTACCTCCTGACGCCCCCTACTGGGGATTGAGCCTGCATCCCAGGCATGTGCCCTGACTGGGGATCGAACCAGTGACCTCTTGGTGCATGGGACGATGCTCAATTCACTGAGCCAAACCAGCCGGGCTATTGCCATAAATTTTAATAGGTTCTACAATTATTTTATTTCTGAATGCTATTTAGTTTTATGACAACTATATTAAATTTTACCCAAACTTTTTTAATGTCTGAAAGCTCTCAGAAGACATTTTAAAGAAAAAACTCCTTGTGAAAACACTTCAGTGTTGTGAATATTTTAGAAACAGCTTTCTCTTGACCACTGGAAGTAGTTAATTGGCTCTGCCTGCCTGAAGCACTGTGTGCAGACTTCTCAGGCTTTTCTTTGGATCTAGGTGAAATGTCTTTTAGTCATTAACTTTGAATAGACAATTACTGAATTACTTATTTAAAAGGAAATGATTTGGGGATAAGATAAAGAGCATTGTCCTTGGACCCCGTGTCGGCTAAATCTAGTTTCAAGTATAAAACAGCTGTCATTGAGCACCCAAGGCAAGCTGAGAGGCCAGTTCATGCAATGGAATAGATGTGCTGGGCGGGTGACAACGTAGTCTAGCTGTAACTCTGTAGGGAACTAGTTAACTTGATTACTTTGGGCTGCTCACAGATTTTTAGGGATCATCTACATCTACAAGTGGTAGTTGGTTTTAGAAGAGCTCTTTTTCTTTAACATTTTATGTTCACACAGTTTCAGCTTCAGTTGATTTCAGAGATCATAAGCTGAGTCATACTTCTTTCTGTCTGTCCTCTTCCCCAGCCCTTACCTGGGTTTCTTTTAAAGGAAAGTAAACCGGTGTTCTTGGGGAAACTCACCTTTCCTGTCTATACATAACAAGCTTACATTTCCTCTCAGATTTCTGAGAAACAGTGATTTTAGCTGAATGTGAAAAATTCAACCTTTTGGCTTAGAACACTGGTGGATATAAAAACTGTCAGAATATTTTTCTGAAGAATTGTATTCTTACCTAAATCTTAGGAGGCATAGTCATTTGCCAAAGATGCCATAAGGGCCTTCTTTTTCTTTACTCTTTTAGAAGAGAAAAGTATTGGCGTTTTGGCCTTGAAATGAAGGCTTTTCATATTTTTCTTGTCTTTGAATAGTAACATCTGCTGGAACATTAGAATTTTGCCACTGAATGCCTTCCATCAAAGGCAGAGGCTTTGGGGGAATCGAAGCTGTTGGCACACAGTAGTATAGTCTCGAGATGTAGACTTTACGTATGTGTGTAAGGGATGAGGAGAGTGAACGTGCATGACTCACTGGAGTTTATGGTTTGATAGACTGAGCAGACTTGAAAACTAAGGTGTATATGTGCATGTGCTTGTGTTTGTAAGGGTGTCTGTGTGTGTGTGTGTGTTCGTATGCGTGTGTGTATGCATGTGAGTCTAGGCTTTTGACTGGCTATGAACAAATAGTTGTTTTATTTTTGTCATGTTTAATACATGCCAAAACAGTACAGGACACCTGAGGAATCCCATGTCCTGTACTCTTTCTTGTTTGTTAATACGGGATCATTGTGATTACTGGTGTCTGAGAATTGGTCTTACGCTGCATACTGCTCATCAGCTTTGTACTATGAGAAGGCCTATTGAATGCCAAGATACTGGTTTTATATTGCCTTCCAGAAGGTAATCAGTTGAAGAATGACTGGGAAAATTTGGGGAAAGTTTTACCATACAATTTCACTTTATGAAAAGAAAATAGAAACGAGAGAAAACAAACCACCTCTAGAGTCTTAACCTCTAGGGAATTAGCTTCCCTAGAGTGGGTTTTGTTGTCATTCTATGGACTAATTGTCTGTTTTCCTCTTTAGTGGGGACTGGATATGCACATTTTGCAGAGATATTGGGAAACCAGAAGTTGAATATGATTGCGACAATTTGCAACATAGTAAGAAGGGGAAAACTGCACAGGGATTAAGCCCTGTGGACCAAAGGGTAAGTGTGAAATCAGTTGGTGTATTATTAGGGATTCTGTAGTTGTCTGGCTCTACATTTTTTAAGTGTGATATACATGTAACCTGATACACTTTCATTTTTTAATCTTTCCATCTGATGATATATTGATGACTTCTGAAATCTTTATCGCTAGCCTCAGCTTTAGACTCATATCCAGTTTTCTCATACTGAACATGCCTCAACCAAAATCTTCATTTTTAATTCTCTTCTTCAAAAAGCAAAAGCAATAAATAACAACATAAAAACTGTACTTCTCCCCCAGTGTATTACCATTATCTCTGTTGCTCAAGCCAGAAATCTGAGAGAAATAAAAGAATCAGGAGTGACTTTATAATATTATGTTCTTACTTCCCCTAATGATTACTTTATGAGATAGCCATCATAGCCTGTCATCTGCACTACTGTAATAATCTCTTCACTGGACTCCCTCTGATTCTACTCCTGCCCCCTTACAGTCCATTTTCTGTACTGTTCATAACGTTCTTTTTAAAAATGTAAACAGGGCTATCACTCCCTTGCTTAACATCCTTGAACAGCTTCCCATTGTATTAAAAATGGAATCAAAATCCTCTTCCTCACTTCAGTCGGATTTCTGCTCATGTAGTCCATAGTCTGATCTTCATAGAAAAATACCTTTCACATAGTTCTGTGGTTAATTATGTTTGGCTCTAATCTGATGTATATACTTCACAAAATCCCCCCTCCACTATCTATGAAGAGAAGGTATGTGTTTAGAATGTACAAACTTAAAAGAAATTTAAGCAAATGAAAACTAAAGGTAAAATGCATGTCAGTTTATTTCTGGTTTTTTAAAAATATTCTAGAGTTGGGTTGAGAAGATACAGATAGTTTTTATTTAATTTTGAACCTGAGTGGAATAATTTCAAGAAAGGAATTAAAAACATGTCTGGCCTGCCACAGGGGGTTACAACACGAGTAGCAACAGCAATAATTTATAGATTACTAGGTAATCTATAAATTATTGTACAAAATGCTATATGTTGCTTTTCTGACTCCTTCCATGTGTATAAATAGTTGCATTAATAGTAGATAAATTACCTTTGTTATCAGATAAGAACAAAAGCACTCTGTCTTTGATAAGTGCATTTAAAGTAGAACAGAAGATAGTTTCAAAACTAAACGGGAAACGAAGCGGTTTTCTTTGGGTGTAAGTTTAGTTGGAGAGCTAGTAGTAGTAATACTATATAATAAACGGGTAATGTGCAAATGGATTGAACGGCTGAATGACCGGTCACTATGACATGATGCACACTGACCACCAGGGGGCAGACGCTCAGTACAGGAGCTGCCCCCTGGTGGTCAGTGCACTTCCACAGGAGGAGTGCCGCTCAGCCAGAAGCCCAGAAGCCTGGCTCACAGCCGCTCCCTGCGAGGGCTCCCGACGGCGAGAGGGTGCAGGCTGGGCTGAGGGACCTCCCCGAGTGCACGAATCTTGTGCACTGGACCTCTAGTACTTTATAATGATAAACTCCTTATTCTCAAGAAGATCTTATTAGGCAAAAAAAACTTAAGGGATTTCTTACCTTTTCTTTTTTTTCGGCCAGAAATGTGAACGTCTTCTGCTTTACCTCTATTGTCATGAGTTAAGTATTGAATTCCAGGAGCCAGTTCCTGCTTCGGTGAGTTGTTTTCCTTAGTACCACCCTGGTGAAGACTCCTCTGTTAAAACTCCAGCTTCTTGAAGACTCTCCTCAACCTCTCCAAGGCTCAAGTTTTCTAATACCATTTCATCCCTCATTGGGTTCTTTCAAGGGATATATAGTCTATGGTAACCTGGGTAAATGTTTTAGCATCATACCTAGTAGCACTTTAAATATTTCTTATTAATCAGAAATTTTAGTAGGGCCAAGTGGATATGAGTTCCACTAGTTAAAATTGGAGTTTGTTTTTAAAGATTTTGTTGCGCTGATGGAAATGTAGTGAATTTAATTTCCATGTCCTCTGTTACCTTTAAGGTAAGGGGTAATAGGTATAATGGAAATAATCTTGAACCTAGGAGTCAGGAGACAACTTCTCTCAGTTCTGCCATTAGCCATCCTTATAACTGGGAAAATTACATATATTCTTGCCTTTACTCTTTAAACTGTGCAGTGGGAGTATTGGACTAAATTATTTCTAAGATTCTAGTTCTACGATTCTAGGTTCTGTAGGTCGGGGAGAAAACAATCTATGTATTTGAATAAACGTGTAAAATTTAATCTTTTATACTGGCTCTGCCTTTATAAGCCCTCTTTTATGAAAAGTCAAGATTAAGAAAAGATTGGGAAAATTTTGCAAGTCAATATTCTTTAACTTAAAGGGGACTTTAGTAAGGAATAAATCATTGCCTCTGACGTCCCATAGCAAAAGGAACATAAGAGGTGCTTAGTGCATCATAAATGGTCTGAGACTATGCTATACATCTTTTATTTGTTAGCCAACATTTGTTGAATTAAGATGTTACTGAATACCAGATGTGCTATACAATATTGAATAGTAGATTTGTGTACTGAATAGCTTCAGAAATGAATTTTACAGCACAGAAGGTCTAGACCTGCAGTTCTCAACCTGTGGGTTGCGATTCCTTTGGGGGTCGAATGACCCTTTCACAGTGGTCGCCTAAGACCATCGGAAAACACATATATAATTACATATTGTTTTTGTGATTAATCACTATACTTTAATTATGTTTGATTTGTAACAATGAAAATACATCCTGCATATCAGATATTTACATTACGATTCATAACAGTAGCAAAATTACAGTTATGAAGTAGCAACGAAAATAATTTTATGGTTGGGGGTCACCACAACATGAGGAACTGTATTAAAGGGTCGCGGCATTAGGAAGGTTGAGAACCACTGGTCTAGACACAAGGAATATGTTTTGTGCAAATAGTAATCATCTGATATTAGCAGGTCTGTCTTGTCTTTAAGTTCATGAGAAAGTGACTTTCAAATTATTTTTCATGAACTATTGAAAAAGCTTCTCTATGTTTAGTTATTTCCCGAGGATACAAATTTTTGGCCAAGAGTCCGGGGCCAGAACTTCCCAGCATGATCACTGAGTGGTTAAACATTATTTTTGGCGGGGGGGGTGGGGGGAGGAGCGGCGGTATTCCAATCTTTCTTCCTCTGTTGCTATGTCCACAGTACTTTGTGATAAAAAGTTAAGTCCTCTAAAAGATATCATGTTCTAATAATAATAATACCTTTTGTAACCATTTTCCCTTTCCTATTTAAAAATAACCTCTTCAGGAATCATAAAATTCTGATGAGCTACCTGTATCTTTACATTAGTGACTGGTTATCCTTGCTATTTGCTTTCTTTTCAAATTTACTTCTTAAAGATAGAACTTAGGGGCCTTCATAACATGGATCCTGCCACATATTCTGAACATGATTTGATTTTCATGATAAAATTGGGGCCAAAGATAAATAGTACATTCACTATACCCCAAATTTTCAAGTAGCTGACTCATTAGTCAATATATTTTCCCCCTAAAATTAAGATGCTATGGATTTTCAAATTAAAAACAGTTTGGCATTTGGGAGAACCCTTATCTAGCCATATTTATTTGCTCTTTTAGATACCAAACTACTATAAAATTATAAAGAAACCAATGGATTTATCTACCGTGAAAAAGAAGCTGCAGAAAAAACATTCCCAACACTACCAAGTCCCAGATGACTTTGTGGCTGACGTCCGTTTGATCTTCAAGAACTGTGAAAGGTTTAATGAAGTATGTTAGCTTCCAAACTGTAGTCTGGGATTATTAGTTTTTATTTGTTTGTTGGTTTTATTGTTTGGATTTTGCTTTTCCTGCCAAGTGATTTTTCTAATTTGATTTAAAATTACTTTTTCTGCTTCAATTCTGTCAAGAGTAAAATTGTCATCTACAGCTCCAAAAAAGAAAGTTTACTGTGTATGATTTGAAGTGTATACTTAAACATAATAAATCAGGAATGTTATTAAATATCCCTTCCTGAACAAGTTGAGGAGTTAAGTATAGAAAGTAGTCTCTAGTTAAGTATGTTTTGTGGGAAACTGTTATAAAAGCCTAAATTTTGGGTACATTGAGTACATTGAAGAAAGACATTTATAACAGGGTCCTTTGATTTTATTATTGACCATATAAATGTAGGACCTTAAAATCAGCAACAACTCTGGTGGCTCGTTTTGAACAGTAGCCCAGAGTCTATAATGTTGAGTTTTTGGATCTCAGCAATGTGACTTTCATTAATTTTGGCTTTGTATTTTTATGAGGCTAAGGATTTGTTATCCATATCTTGTAAAGAAATGTGATACACACACACACATACCTCCCTTAAGGAAATAATTTTGGTTATCTTTGGGAAAAGTCAAGTTGCCTATTGTTAAGGAAATTTTTCATTATTACAGGAGAAAATGGAATTGGATGAGAATTCATAAAATCTTTAAAAAGGATTACTTTATTACTAAAGCCTCATCTTAATTACTGGTAAAAATTGGGTGCCATGTGACTATTACTAAAATAAATCACGTTGAATCATTTAAAATTTACTCATAGCTGCTTCTGGAAGCATCTAGATGACTGTAAAAAATTTTAAAAAGTTTACTAGGTGAAAAGTCTAGTCACCTCAATAGCAGTATGCCACAGAGAACAGTAAAACTAAAATTAATACAGTCCCAAGGTTTTGTCTTGTTTTCTAATGCACTTAGGTTATTTTAAATAAATGTGCTTTCATGAACTATAGCTAGCATTTGCCAGGGAGAAGGCCCATTTTTTTCTGCTTTAGTAATAGTTAAGTAATTTATGATTAACTAATTGTCATATAGATGGTATTCTGATTAAGTGGTTTGTTGAAAGTTTGGCAGATTTTTAAAAGCAACATTTCTTACATTATTCATCTTACAGATATGTTCTCTTAAATAGATTGATATATTCTGACCAATTTCTATTTAGGTTGACCCCAGTAATTCAGAATTTGAGACAATTATTGAGGTTTCACGGTAGCTTCAGTCTTAGAGCTTTGTAAAGAAAGTGGTTCCATGTTCTGTAAACCTTTAGGAAGCACTTATAATCTGGTCATCGCACTTATAATCTGACATCCCTAGTATGGCTGACTCTTGTCGCCAGTCCTGTGCAGTTTTATAATTTTAGAAAGGATTTATAATTTCCCTTTTTTTTTTTTGACTCTGGTATCCTTTTTAGATGATGAGAGTTGTTCAAGTTTATGCAGAAACACAAGAGATTAATTTGAAGGTAAGCTTTTCAGACCATGCACACTTGGTGAAGGAATATGCATTACCAATAGGTGAATGTCCTATCTTTTGCTTGCAGGCTGATTCAGAAGTAGCTCAGGCAGGGAAAGCAGTTGCGTTGTACTTTGAAGATAAACTCACAGAGATCTACTCAGACAGGACCTTCGCACCTTTGCCAGAGTTTGAGCAGGAAGAGGATGATGGTGAGGTAACTGAGGACTCTGATGAAGACTTTATACAACCCCGCAGAAAACGCCTAAAGTCAGACGACAGACCAATACATATAAAGTAAAAAGACACGAACTTAAACCAATTGTTTAAAAAGAGAGCGAAAACACTTTTAAGTGTTGCTGGAAAATTCTGCCTACAGTGGGGGCACCTCCTTGAAGAAACTGATAGCTTTCACACAGTATTAGACTGAAACAATGGACAGAAACCACATTCTTGTCAAGAAGGGGAGACAACTCTGCACCATTAAAAGTAAAAATAAAAGTGAAATACTTTGAAGATTTCTGTTACTGAAGAGTTTTGACTGTTAGAATCGGCAGATGTGGATTATGTGGTATTGACTGGTGCAGGATGCTGGATGTATAAGTAAATAAATACTTGCGGGTCATGTCACTTGATAAATTGTCTCTGTGGACCACAGCGTACAGCTATTAAACAATTCTGATGCCTCTCCCTTCACACACACACACTGGCTTGTTTTCTAGTCAAAGTTGACATTTTTGATGTCAATACAGATGTGCATTGAATCATACACTTACATTTTTTCTCATTTTGATGCTGTTGGGCCTTAGTTTTTATATTGGTTTAAAGAACTCAACAGTTTTTTTTTTGTTCATACTTGGAGTCTAGGGAACATGACCATTGATCATTATTTAATCAACTTTAATGGTCTACTGAAATAAATATGGTAACTGTTCAGTAGGAGATCATGTAATTATAGTAATCATTCCCAGAAAACATGTCCACAAATTGCATCTCTCAACCAAATCATCGGCTCCTAGTTATTCCCATGAAAGGCAGAATGTTGAATATTGGCCTAGTTTTTGTGTATTTAGATTGGATTGAGGAGGGGATAGCTGGCTCTGACCCGTCTTCCTTCATGTCAGTTTCCGATAGACCACTATTGGCAAACGGTAATCTGTCAGCTACCAAATGTGTAACATTTTCTGTATTTCACTTTGTCTTATTTGTAAATAGTGAACTAAAACTTCTGGCAGATCGGCAACATTTGCTGAGCCTGTTTTTTAAGCTAATGTGTATTCTTACTAATGTTCCTATCAAGAATGGATTTGTAATATATGCTGTCTATTTCTAATGTTCACATTCATATTTTGAGGTTCTATCTTATTTTAATAGAGAACAGACTTCTCAGAAAATCTTCAGAAGCAGCTTATTATTAAAATATCAAAATATTGAAATAAACCCGGTGGGGTTAGATTACTCATCTGTCCACCAAGTGGGACATTGCATGGACTGGGGCCTAAAGGACAGAGAAGAGACTTGTAAGTAAATCCTGAAAATGAGCCAATCCCCACTTGAATGGTTCCTGGAGTAACCCACCTTTAATCCTGATTTCAGCACCCGAGGCAGATACACACACCATCTTGGCTCTGTCTCATTTTTCTTCTCTTCATTTGTGATGCTCATGTCCAAGATGTGTGTCTAGACTGTATACAGGCTTCTCTTTTGTTGGATTAAAAATTTTAGTCCTACTTTTGTATGGACACATTAGAATACAAAGTGACCAAAATAGAAGACTCTCCATTAGATATTTTCAGATATCAGATTTGTGGCAAATCGTTTGCCTTTTAAAAAATCCAGCTGAAGCAGTTCAGACAGGTTTCTCAGAAAAATTATTTGACATAATTGTCTAAGAGGTAAATATTTTTTAGTGCATATTGAATAAAATAAAGTGCTTTAAAGAAATTATTATGCAAACTCCTTTGGGCTGTTGTTCTTTTCTTAACAAGTGGTGGGGGTAAACATGAATATGATTCAAGCCTTCTAATGGTATTGATTTTGTCATTGCTATTGACTTATTTCATTCTCTAACTTCCTTTTGGCTTCTCTTTCAGTTTTGTTGTAAATTTAAAAAACATATTTCAAACTCATCTTGCTCAAATTTTAAAGAAGAGTTTTCTGATAAGAGGGAGAATATTGTTTAAAAAATGCTTTTATCTGTGCTTATTCACCTCTTTCCTATAATATTTGTGATTTCATTATCAGGAGACATACCTAAGGGCACATTTTTGAAAACTGGAGAGTTAGCCGTATAGCTTCATTTTGTCTAATGTGTTTTGTTTGCTCTCTTTCACTATTATTAGATAGTAAGTCATAAATACTTTCTACCAATGGCAGAAGAAACAAAATTTTAAGTAAATATTTATTTCTCAATACTTGGGGCCTTAAAAGATAATGTGTTCTCTTAAAGATATTACCATGTTAGATGGGGTTTATCCCCTTTGTTTTATTTTAAGATTGGTTCTTTGGTTCTTAAAAAGCCACTTTATTGTCAACATTTAATAGGCTCCATTTCTGCTAACAAGATAATTCATGCTGCTGAGGAAGTACCATTCGTTAATAGCTGTCCGTAAACCGCCATTAAATGAAGTTGTTCACTTTAGATTTCATTTAAAGCTCTTTTTGCGCACTGATCACTGTTACTAAGCTGATCTGTGCACTGATAGAACTGTTCAAAAGTATTAACTTGATATTCAGAAATCTTACATGATTTCCTATTATGTTTTAAAAAGACAAACATTGTATATCAGTTCCTGTTTGTTTTTATACTCTCACATTTGTATTCTTCCTTGAAAGGCAGTATTTTAGATTTGGAGATGTTAATGTTTCCTTAAAGGTTTGCAAAGTTTTCGCCACATTTCAGTTCCTATCTGCTATGAGAACACCAAGAATAAAGTGTTCCTTAGTCTGCTCCGCTGGCCTACATTTGGGTATTTTAACGCTGAGCTGAGCTGATTCACTGAAGGAATTGCTTTCTAAGGCGAAGCCCGTGTGTGTTCCAGACCGTTAGATTGTGGGTCATGCTCTGGACAGAAATATCAAGTCACGGCCGCAGAGAAGTGATGCGGCATTGGAGCCAGGAATCAACAAGGTACTTTCTGACTCTGTTTCTTATATGAGGGAATTTTAAATAAAATTTAAAGTCAGTTAATTCTCACTTTTTGTTGTAACAGTTTTTAAAATTTTTCATTAATCCAAAGAAACAATGTTTTTAAATAGAAGCAAAAGGTTTATAGTGTGCAATTTGTAGATTTATCAATTACCTCAGCAGGTATCCTGCCATGTAATTAATTATTAGTGATTAGTGTTAATAAGTTAAAAGATTTAGGTCTTCTGACTATGCCCTTGGATTATGGCCTACCATATGTTACTAAACAGCCTCTCAGTATCCAAAATGGGAGTAGATGCTGTGGCTCCCTCTCCCTTTACCTTTAAAAAAAAAGTTTTTATTGATTTTGTAGAAAGAAAGGAAAGAAGGGAGAGGGAAGGAGAGAGAAATACCAATGATGAGAGCGAATAATCTATTGGCTGCCTCTTGCACGCCCCCTACTGGGGATCGAGCCTGCAACCTGGGCAGGTATCGGTGACCTCTTGGCTCATGAGTTGATGCTCAAACCACTGAGCAACACTGGCCAGGCACCCTTTACCTTTTAAGTCCCTTACCTACTTCCACTCACACATAACAAATGAAGTATGAAAATCTCACTTCTTGTTAGCACTGCTTATTTGCATAATCAGCATTAGATCAGTGAGTAGCTTTATGAAATCTACCCCCTCTCTCCTAATTGAAACAATGAGGCTCTTCACTCACCTTCTGGATTAGTAATCTGAAGGCGAGCCACGGTTTTCAAGGTGCATCACAGTTTGATCATGCATTGGACCTAGATGTTCTCCTCCTCACAGTCATCTCCTCCCTGATAAAGCAATAACACTGCTTTACTTACGTCTGCTGCCTCAGCACGCCATAACCCTCTCCTGGATGGGGACTTTCTAGGAAAGTTTGTATGCATATCACCCAGTCTGTCTTTTAAAAATTAAGAAAAGTAAATGTATGCTGGAGCTAATGACAATATATTGTGGCATTTTATTTTAAAAATTGGGGAAAGTTGCATATTTTTTTAAAAGTAGGTGTTTGAGTAAAAAAATTGAAGGTACTTTTTTAAGAAAAAAATTTATATGCCTCAGTTTACATAGACATTTCAGATTTCAACATGTTACTCTGGGATATAACGGTTTCTTTTACTTGGTCAAAATGCATGTGTAGCATTTCTTCAGTCTTAGTTCCTTGTGTTTGCCTTTGTGGTCTTTTATATATATTTTTTATTGTATCGGAGAAACAAAATTATCCTCAAAAATAAATCCATTGGATATATTTGTTATAATCAAACTACAAAATGTACAAATTAAGTTGAGCCCTTTTCTAGCAAGTGATCTTTAAAATGAAAAGTGCTGTTCTTTTAAATTCACCAAATTTGTATGTGGGAAGGCACAGAAATAATTTTCTAAGTGCCACTGCAATATTCCCTTTCAAGTGTGGCCTAAATTTCAGTCTTAACGAAATGCATGTCTGCTCCTGGTCTGAAAAATGTAGGCATTTACTATGTTTTAAATCACAGTGAAAGATGTATATAAACCTATAAAAAAAGATTTGTGCAATCTGAAAGCCTGTTAATTTTCTATGTAGAAATACTGACACACGAAAGGGTTAAATTCACAGCCTTCCTGGTTCCTGGCTTCCAGTATTTCAACTGGTGTCCTCCCCTCATTTTATTACTATGATTACCACAACTACTATTATTTTTGCACATAGTTAACTACCCTTCAATATGATTCTTAAAGAAAAAGTGCTGTTTCTGTGGTATTGTATTCTCTAAATAATCATATTTAATTTTTTAAAACAAGGTTGCAGTTTCTAGTTGTTCCGTTCCTGTGTTTTTGCTGGTGTGTAATAAAAGCAAGGTTTTCTTTTCATGGTTATTTAATACAGTAGCTGCCTGTAAATATTTCTTGTTACAATGCCCTGGAATGTGTTGTAGAGGTTGTATTAGATTAGTTTAAAGCCTTGTTTGAAAGCCACATTGTTTTGGTTATTTCTATTAAATTAGAAAATTGAAAACGTTTTCAAATGAATTTCTTTTTTTCTTCCTCATTGAGTTGAGAATCATTTAAATTCATTAAAAATATTTGTACTGCGTGTAGGCACTGGAGATACAGTGGTGAACAAGGTAAAATACAGTCCCTGCCCTCACCGGTGTTTCAGACTCCCTGTGAGAATGGTGCATGTGTGACGGAAAGCAGCTCAGCATGTGGTCAGAACACACAGGACCCCACACTTGTTAGGGAGGGAGGTGGTCTCTTCCACGAATAAAAGATAAAACTGGTCCAGGCAGAGAGAAAAGAGAAGCCTGACAACGAGAGAATGTGTGTGTTCCAGGGCCTGAGAAGCCCAGTTGGCTGGAATGGAGGTGAAGTTGAAGTAGGAAAACCATAAGCGGGAGAGCTGAGGAGGTACTTTTCAAGCAGAGTTTCTTGAAAGCCATGTGGAAGGGGGTGGGGCTTACACTGGGCAGCAGGGCCCCTGCGGAACATTAAGCACAATGGGGCTGGGGCTGGGGGTTGGCATCATCAGAACTGCCTTTTCGAAAGGGCGTTTTAACTGTGAAGATGGGCTGTCGAGAAGATTGGAAGTGGAGCGGCAGTTGTAGGCTCGTGAGGAATCCAGGTGAGCCCTAAACTGGCTACCTGGCAATGGAGGAAATAGTCCGATTTTTGAGAGATTTAGGAAGTCAAATAGATCAATAATTGAGGCCACGGGGTTGCCCAAGAAACCGCACTGACTGTGTGAATTTGTACATGTTGCTTGGTGTCGCTGAGCCTCAACCTGCACAGTGAGAGGAATCATCTTTTTCTCGTAGAATTGTTGGAGGAAGTACCGTAAGTCATTAAGTGTGAAGCACTTGGAAAAGTGCCTGATACTCTAGTATAGTTGGGCGTTAACAGATGTTGGTTGTTGCTCTTTATTTTCTGTAACTGCTCAGCTGGCTGAGGGCAGGCCGCGGGGTGGCAGAATGGTCAGGGCTGGGATTGTGCTAGGCTGGTGCCTAACACGAAGTCAGAGGCGTTTAGAGTGCTGGCTGAAAGCAATGGTGTGATGAACCATAGGCCACGGCGAACCGTAGCCCAAGAGGGACCTGAGAGGAAGAGGAGGTGGGTAAGGGGAATATTACTTGGATGGACGGGGTGTTTTGATGATGTTGACGGCCTGGAGAGTTGAACGGACTGGAGGATAGAAGGCTGTGGTCGGATAACAGGTTAAACTGAGCAAGTGATGTTTCAAGGTGGAGAAAATGAGGGAACAATACCTCACTGCGAACATCGGAGGGCGGGGCAGAGGGGAGAGGAGAGAGCAGGTGGCTCATCTGCATGGACAGTCGTGGGCAGTGGGAACGGGGAGCAAGACGTGCCAAGGTTCATCACTCACGTAACTCCATGTGTGGGAGGCGCCATTAGTGTGTGTTTCCACAGGGTCACTTGTCATTCTCCTTCATTAAAATCCCAAGGCTTCTACGAGGGCCACAGTAGCCAGCATTAGTTGAGTCTTTGCGGTGGGCACTGTTTTAAGCACTTTTTACGTAGCAGTTCTTTGTGAAGACTACGAAGTAGGTGACCCATTATTAGTCCTATTTTTAAATGAAGCAACTGAGGCTCAGAGGGGTTACATAATTTGCTCACACCCTGGCGCCAGGAAGGGGCAGACCTTAGATTTAAAAGCTAGCTTGGCTTCAGGTCTGTGTGTGTAACCACGACAACACCTGCGCTCAGCGTCTGAAGTCACTATTACCTTTGAGTGAACTGGCTTCTCTGGGGCACTCCTCCGCTGACTTAAGAGTGAGTGCTGGGGAAGAAGGGGTCCGTTTATAATGAACTGTGTTGGGGTGGGGAGTGGTCCATGGTGCCCAGTACTCCCACGACCTCTGGCCCAACATGAGTCAGGACAGTGTCCACCACCTCAGGGAGGAGGCACGTGCCTGGGCGTGGGAACCAGTGCCCGAGGGTCCTCCCCGGCTGCTGGGGAGGGTGCTGGCTGGGGGACGGGGATGGGACAGGAGGGCTTGTGCTCGCAGCTGCTGGGACTGCGCCCTGTTCTCTGTCGCCTCCTCTGGACACAGGAAGGCTGCCCCAGGGTGGCCAGACACTGAGCCGAGAGAGCTAGAGGGGCGCGCTGCGACGGGCTGGGCCAGCGTGACCTCGGGCCCTGTGCCCACACCTGGCCCACACCCGGGGCCATGGGAGGAAGATGCCAACAGGCTGTTGGGAGGAGCTGGGAAGAGCCCGAGGCAGCCAGGCCTCAGGACAGGTCAGTGCTCCCAGCCCTGGGCAAGGCCTCCTTTCGGAACCGCGTGCTAAGGAGGGCAGGTCACCCACCTGGACCGCCTGTGTGTTTGCAGTTTCCTCAGAGAGAAACTTCTGTCTTGTCCAAGCCCTGGTTCCGGCAGTTTATCCTGGACTCTGAGACGGGTCCTGCACGTGAAGAGGCGGAGAAAAGCAGGGGCAGGTGGGAGAGACTGGTGCGTCGGACCTGAGCCGGGCTGGAGTGTGCCATCTCAGAGGGTTCCCCCCTGCGCCTTGTCATGGGGACGCTCCTCAGCTCCGCAGCTTGTGCTGCGCGGGGTTCACGCGCCTGGAGCAGGCACGCGGACGGGTGCCACAGCCCCGGCGGGAGGGCAGCCCTCAGGAGGGCCGGGCCTGAGCGGAAGGCCCCTCCCCAAGGCCGGGGTGAGGCTGGATGCTCTACAGCAAGTCAGCACCTGGTGGCTGCAGGGGGGCTGGGCAGCAGGGCTGAGAGCCATGGCAGCCACGCAGAGCGCCGTCTGGCCAGGCTCCCCGTGTGTGCAGCCTGTCCTGGTTCAGCCTGCCAGGGACACACTGTGCCCACGAGGTGGGCCACCCCCTCGGGGTGGGGAGCCATGGCCCCTGGGCACCTGGCCCCGGGCCTGTTGGCCTGAGGACCGGCCCGTCCTCCCCCCTGGCCCAGCCCCAGGCCCTGAGGCTCCAGGCCGCCGCCGCCGCCTGAATGAGAGACACATGTCGGGGACAGGCGTCGGGAGAACCGGTCTTGAGGAGTAAGAGAACCGGAGCAGTGTGACAGCGCTGGGG